AGTTTTTGTTTCTTATTGCATTTACGTTGCTTTTCTTTTTCCAGTTTGATGGCCTGTGAGCTGCTATATTCTCCTCAGTTATTAGTTACCCTGTCTGGTAGGAAGGGCCAGCGGCAGGTACTGACCTGTAACTCTTCTAGGATGTTTGGATGAAGGGAAAAGATGAGCTTCCTGGTGGAGAGCTGCAGGTACTGTAGAACTGTTGTTCTCTAACTCTTAAATGCTCTCTGCCCCTCGTAAACCCTTAAGTTAAGGAGTAGGAATCCCTTAGGTTTGGAGTTTAGTGTTTTTGGACTGGAGAGTGGAAGAATCAATGAGAGTTGGCAACACAATACCCCATATGTTTTCATCAGTGCCTCAACCCTGTAGGATTTGAGTTCTGCTCTCATATTTGAGCTTTGATAACTCTGGATTGCCTGGTAGCAATGTTGGGCAAAGTTTGTTCCAAAGCTCCATGTGTATGGGAGCGTGTGGAGGTGAGTGGAGACTAAAATAGACCTTACAAAGTTCTCCTGCGAGTTCTGTTCTCACTGTGTTATGTGTAGGCTGTATCTATCAAAGCCCCCATGCCTACCTCAGCTGGATGTTGCTGGTTTTGAAGATGGAGGAAGTGGACCACCAGCCAAGGAATGCAGGCAGCGTCAAGCATATCAAACTCATGGCCCGCGGGCTACATGTCTCATTTATTTGGCCCGTCTTAGCCTTTGAGTTTGACATGCTTGTTTTAAGCTGAAAAAGTCAAGGAAATGAATTCTCCACTAGATTTTTCAGAAAGGAATGCAGCCCTTTCTGGTGTGGACACCTTGATTTTAGTCCTGTGAAATTCTTTTTAAATATATGACCTCTAGAACCATCAGAGAGCGATTTTCAAACAGTGTGCCACAAGAATTTAAAAAAACATACGTGTATTGAGTCAGGAGCACTGACCTCTTTTCCCTTAGATTGTCAAATAAAAAAATGACAACAGTCAACATAACTATAGCTGTCTGGTCTGAATGAATCAAAATTATACCTATATTTTTGTCAGGCAAAAAAATATATTTTTTGGTGTGCTGCATAATTTTAGTAATTAGTTTATGTATGCCATGAGAGGAAAAACGTTGAAAATTGCTGCTATAAGATAATAAAATTTGTGTTGTTTTAAACCACTAATTTTGTGGTAATTGGTTATGGTAGCAATAGGAAGCAAATACATTGCTGAATAGGATGAAGTAATTAGTAATGATAAAAACTAACATGCAAATAAGTTACTTGAAGATTCTCATGATGGAGGTGACTATAAATTTGCTAAGTATTATTTTTTCCAGAATATCTTGTACAAATTTTAAAAAGGCAAAAGATTTATGCAATCTGAGGAGAAACCAGAGTATCTTGTACAAATTTTAGATGACTTAGTGAAATGGAAACATTCTTTTTTAAAAAAAATACGTGTTTTAAAAGTTGATTTTAGTGGGAGAGGAAGGAAGAGGGAGAGATTGAAACATCTATGAGAAAGAGACATCCATCAGCTGCCTCCTGCATGCCCCCTACTGGGAATTGAGCCTACAGCTTGGGCATGTGCCCTGACCAGGAATCAAACCAGTGACCTTTTGGTGCATGGGACAATGCTCAACCAACTGAGCCACACCAGCCAGGCAAAAACATTCTTGAGAAAGAGGTTTAACTGAAGAACTAATTTCATTTCCTTGCAGGTCTTTTATTTGATAGTAGTGTCCCGGTGCACGGATTCATGCACATTGAAAGGAAATTAATTAGAAGAAATATTTTAATTTTGCTATTTGCCCTTTCTCTATAATAGAAGTGTCAACCAAATTCATGATCGACAATGACAGATTGAAACACACGCATGCAATTGGCCCCAGTGAGAGCTTTATATGTATCGCCCATGTATGAGTCAACTTAGCCTTTTATAGCTATAGAATAAACTTGCTTAATTAGTCCTGCTTTCTGGTTTAGCTAAACTGTTTCCAGCCCAGTGAAGCACCCCAACTTCTCTTTTAGGTAATTGTCAGCAACATGCAGTAAATATCAACATGAAGCAGATTATTATTGTAGATCATGCAGGGAGAACAGAGGGTAAAATATTTAACTGCAGCAGTGTTTGACTATATTCTGTGCAGTGAGAAAACCTGAAGTCATTTTCAAGTTCCACCATTTCTTCTTTTCAGTTGGATCAAGTTTCTAAACTTTCTAAATCTCCATTTTCTGGCTAATGAAAAGAAAATAGGATTCTACTGAGTCTCCTATCTACCTACTCCAGGACTTCTGTGAGGATCAAAGGAGATGTGGCATGTGAAAATGGTTCACAAACATTTGGTTAAACTGTAAAATGTTTGCACCTGGCTATAAAGCAAGTCAGGTTCCTGGGCTGAAGAAACTCCAAGGAGGCTAGTTGCTAGGGAGATGAATCCGGGTGTTGCTATGTGACATCATTACCCAGTGCCCACAACCACCGTTTCCGGGCTGGGCTGGACTGTGGGCCGCATTTTGTGCCATGGGGTCTTGGCAGTGTTGGCTGCAATTTTGTGGGGTGTCTGGGGTGTTGGCGGGGCCTGTGTCCCACTTGGGGGAAGCTGACTGTTAGTTTGTCGGCGCCAGGTCTGTGGTGCTGTTTATTTATAAATGGCCAGTGCACATGGTGGCAGCTCCTGCATTGAGTGTCTGCCCCCTGGTGGTCAGTGAGCATCATAGCTACTGGTTGGATGGACACTTAGCCTTTTATATCCTATACTAGAGGCCTGGTGCACGACATTTGCACACGGGATGGGAAGGGTAGGAGGGTCTCTCTCAGCCCGGCCCGTGCCCTTTCCCACTCTGGGAGCCCTTGAGGGATGTCTGACTGACAACTTAGGCCCAGTCAGACATCCTTAGCACTGCCACAGCGGCAGGCCAGAGGCAGGCCACTGTGCTCACCAGCTGTCAGCCCGACTTGTGGCTGAGCGGCGCTCCCCCTGTGGAAGTGCACTGACCACGAAGGGGCAGCTCCTGCATTGAGTGTCTGCCCCCTGGTGGTCAGTGTGCATCATAGCGACGGGTCATTCCACCGTTCGGTCAATTTGCATATTACCCTTTTATTATATAGGATAATAAAAACCCAGTGACCATAATAGCAGAACAACCAGAACGGAATACCCTATATAATAAAAACCCAGCGACCATAACAGCAGAACGACCAGAATGACTGCTTGACTATTCACTATGAGGTGCACTGACCATCTCTTGGTCCCTTTCCCCAGCCAGCAGGCTCTGATCGCTGATGGCAAACGGGGACCTGGGGTGAGTGGTGGGGGATGCGGGTGGTGCCAGGCCAAGGCCCCCGCCATGCTGGTCGTCCCACACACAGAGGGTGACCTGCGGCGGGGGTAGGGCCGGCGAGTGGGTGGGAACGGCCGACCTCTCGGACCCTCCCCTGGCCGTCAAGCTCCCATCGCTGGATGGCAAACAAAGAACTGGGGTGGGTGGCGGCAGGGGGCAGGGCCGGCTGCTGGGGAAAATGGCCCTGATCACAGGCTAGGCCTAGGGACTGTACCCGCCGGGAGCCGGTCCATCCTTGCTGCTTGACACAGTTGCTGCAGAGAAGAAACATCTGCACAGCATATGTTTCAAGGGACCTGGCATATATAGCATATTGTTCTTAATATGTTTGCTCTCCTTAGTGCCATGTGTTTTAACCAAGGTCACCTCTCTGAGAAAGGTTGTTTCCCCAGGTGGGGATTTTTCCCTGAGGTTAGGGAGGGGATACAACCCCTTAATTAAGTGCCAGGCGGGTAGTTAAGCTACATAATCTTTACTCCCTGGAATGGAGATAAGAAACACCCTAACCTTTGTAATAGAAATTGACAGGATTAAAATCGGCTGGTATAAATACGGATGTAACAAGACAATAAACATCAGATCGTCATCAGCTCCTCATCAGATCCTCATCAGATCCTCATCAGAACCTCATCAGATCCTAACCAGAACCTAGCAAGAGAACATGGCAAAAGATCCTGGACAGAACCTGGCTACAGAACTTCACTGGAGAACCTAGACAGAACATGGCAAAAGAACCTGGATAGAACCTGGCTAAAGAACCTGGCGACCGAACCTGGCTGGAGAATCTGGAGAATCTGGAGAACCTAGAAACAGAACTTCGCTGGAGATCCTGACCAGAACCTAGAAACAGAACTTCGCTGGAGATCCTGACCAGAACTTGGCTGGAGATCCTGGCTAGAGATCCTGGCTAGGCTGCTGATCAACTGAAGGCTGTCTCCATGTCATTCCTTCTTCGCCGACTCCGTCCACACCTTTGGGGACCCCTGATCCTGGAGGGAGAACCTCGCTATGCTGATGAACTGAACCCAGTCTCCATGTCATTCATTCTTCGCCGACTCCGTCCACACCTTTGGGGACCCCTGATCCTGGAGGGAGAACCTCGCTATGCTGATGAACTGAACCCAGTCTCCATGTCATTTAGTCTTCGCCGACTCCGTCCACACCTTTGGGGATCCCTGGACCCGTTGGGGTTGGACCCCAACATGTACCCACACACGATTTTGTGCGCCGGGCCTCTAGTATATAGATAATTGGCTAATGGAAAAATCAGTCCATAATCAGTGTTTTTGGAAGTAAGTTTATTTAATGGACTTGAAATGGAGCCATTTCTATTTTTCTGAGAATATTATAATCAGATCAATTTTGCTCTACAAAGGCAAGAATGTTTCTCGACCCCACCAAAGATTTTAAAAACATTTTTTTTAGTTCAAGTAAAAGATGGCAAAATAAGCCAGACATCAATCTGGTTGTGTATGGTTGTAATTCCTTTTTATGGGTGTCTATATTTCATGGAAACCTTTTAAAATTTAATTTTGTTTTTTATTTTTTGGTGTGCCACAGAATTTTTGTAATTAGTTTATGTGTGCCATGAGATGAAAAAGGTTGAAAATCACTGCCCAAGGGCATAGTTTAAGGACTAGGTAGTTACAAACTCCAGTCACCTACCCATCCCAGAGCAGTGCCAGCTGTGTTGCTCAGAGTTAAAAGGACTGCCTGCGTGGGAGCAGTTGGCCCCAGTAATGTGCAGGCATATGCTCTGGTGCTGCAGCCTGAACCCCCTGGGCACCACAGGCAGGTGCAATGGGGGCTGAAAGGCAGCTCCTGAAACCTTTTTTTGGTGTGTGTCCCATAAGAAAAAAAAAAGAGAGAGAGAGAGAATAACAAGAACTTTTTTCACTGACTAATATGATACTAACATGTGAAGTAACAAGAGGATGAAACTTACAATTTAAAAAAAAGTACTGAAATGCTGGCAGGCGGTCAGACTATTGCCAGCCTCCTGGTTATTTTCTGCATAGTTTTGATATACCTGTCCAAGCATGTTTGGCAAAGTGGAAGTTTAGTTATTGCTGAAATTGTGTGCAAGAGTCTAAGAAAAATTCTTTACAACATGTTTGGGATTATAAAGAATTTGGCTGAAAGAAAACTGTAATAGATGCTTTCTCTTTGAGGTCTATTGTAGTCATTCTGGCAGCCCAGCCTAAATCTTACTATCTTGCTTTGGAGGTACTTGAAGGGAAAAATGTTTCATTTTTGTGAAGAGCTGTCTGACACAGGAAAACTTCACCTTCAATAAGATTATTTCTGGGCACAAGAACAATTGCAGCATTGTTTCTTCAAAATCGCTGGAATACACCTGAGAAGCCCTCCTTGTAGAATATGCTTCAATTTATGTCCCATTACTGCTGTCAGAGCTTTTGTGTCCAACTCTCTTTTGTTTCCAAATGATGGGTAGAGTTGTCACTTCATAGACAATTCAGAGAGGTGTTTTGAGCTGTCATTGTTTAGGAAGTTTTTATTCTTCTGAAGACCTCAGAAGAAAGATGCAGTAAAAGATGTTAGGTCAGACACCTAAAGGTTTTCTACACTTAATTCCATTGTATATTTTCTCTACCTGATGGTATCAATGATTTCATGTGAGGGCATTTTCTTTGATGAGGTTCACAGATAGAGTACAGGATGTTTTATTTTGATCAGTTTGGAAGTGGCTGGGGTGGTTATATGTATAAGAAAGCTTTCATGGCTTTTTAAATTTCATGTGTTCCTTGCTCTGTAGTTTTGTTTCACCCAGATACAAGTTTTTTATTTATTTACTAGAGGCCCGATGCACGAAATTTGTGCAAGGGGCTTGGCCCTCGCAGCCATGGCTTCGTCCCGAAGGACATCCAGTCTAATTAGCATATTATGCTTTTATTATTATAGATAGTTTTTTTCTACAGGAAATTTCAGCAATATCATCCTTAGAGCAGTAATGTCTTTTATTTTTCAGAATCTTAACTGGGAATTTATAACAATTATGAAAACATGTATTTTCTAGACATTTCATTATAATATATTTTAGTAGTGAAAAGTTGGAGAGAATTTAAGCATTCACCAATAGAAGCTGATGATATTATGACATAGATTATGATCTATACTAATAAAAGGGTAATATGCTAATTAGACTGGATAGACCGGACGTCTTCTGGACATCCTTCCGGACATCCTTCTGGACAAAGCCACAGCAGCTGCGAGGGCCAAGGAGGGCCGGCAGCTGTGGCAGCCTGCAGTGGCAGCAGCAGCAGGGTGATGGAGGCAGCGCCTTCCCCTGATCGGCCCTGTTGCCTCCTGCAGAGGGAGGCCAGACTAAGGCGTAGGCCTGCTCCCCATGGGGAGTGAGCCTAAGCCAACAGTAGGACATCCCCTGAGGGCTCCTGGACAGTGAGAGGGGGCAGGGCAGGCCGGGCTGAGGGATTCCTCCCCCGCCCTGCCCAGTGCATGAATTTTTGTGCACTGGGCCTCTAGTATATGTATAAAGCATAATGCTATATTTTAAAGTGAAAGCGGATTGTAAAATACTGTGAATTCAATCATGTAAAGTATATGTAGGTACTTATGGGAAAAATGATTGGAAGAATATAAACAAAATGTTAGCAATGGTTATATGTGGTGGTGGGATTATTCATTTTATGTGTAATTTTTACTTTCATTTGTATGTTTTTCTTTGATTTTTTAATTTATTTTAAAAGCAAAGTACATGTATTTCTTTTATTACAGTTACAACTTATTTCCAATTGGAAAAAATCAGTTACAGTTCGCACATTTTGCAGTTACCTTATTTATCATTTTGCTTTCCTTTCATAGATTCTCACATACAACCCTAAGCTCCACCATATTTATTACCATAATTTTTAATAAGACCTATCTTATCTGTTTTCAGAGAAATATTTTTCTTCTAGGAAATATCCCTTTCTCTTAACATTTTCATGTAGACAAATAGATTTTAAGTTTTCTACTCACTTACTGTGATTGTATACCTTATTAAAACCAGACTCAATTCTGAAATAGTAATTCATAGGTCTCCTTTTAGTGGCAGTGTAAGAATTGTTTTCCAAGTTTGTAGGCATGAAATGGATGCCTTGTCAGTGAAATTATATACCTTGCCAATAGGAGGCATACATACAACAGTTATATTTTCTAAATTAAATATTCAAAGAAGTAAAACATCTCATCACTACTTCTATAAATCATGGGATGGATTTTTTTCAAAATTGAAAGTCCCAGAAAATCTCTCACAAATTATAGCATAATATATTGACATAGAAATGATATGATCTATTAAATGAAGATTTTGTACCTTAATGGGATATTAAAATAATTTAGGAAAGCCAATTTATTTGACAGACAGGAGCCCTCTGCAGCAGAGATGTAACTTATCCAAAAATCTCTTGACAATTATTGGCATTTAACAAATAATTATTCAATAGCTACTATGTGCCAGACACCATGCTAGATATTAAGAATTTTATTTATTTTTTATTTAAATTCTTTATTGTTAAAAGTATTACATAAATCTCCTTTTCTCCCCATTGACCTCTCCCCAGCTGCTCCCACCCCCCAGCACATGCCCTCACCCCCCTACTGTTTATGTCCATTGGTTATGCTCATATGCATGCATACAAGTCCTTTGGTTGATCTCTTATCCTGCCCTCCCCTCCCTTGCCTTCCCTGTTAGGTTGGACGGTCTGATCAGTGCTTCTATGACTCTGGCTCTATTTTTGTTCATCAGTTTATGTTGTTCATTATATTCCACAAATGAGTGAGATCATGTGATATTTATCCTTCTCCAACTGGCTTATTTCGCTTAGCATAATGCTCTCCAGGTCCATCCATGCTGTTGCAAATGGTAAGAGTTCCTTCTTTTTTGCAGCAGCGTAGTATTCCTTTGTGTAGATGTACCACCGTTCTTTAATCCACTCATCTACTGATGGGCACTTAGGCTGTTTCCAAATCTTAGCTATTGTAAATTGTGCTACTATGAACTAGGGGTGCATATATCCTTTCTGACTGGTGTTTCTGATTTCTTGTTATATTAAGAATTTTTATTGTTTCTATTTAGTTTTAAATTTTTTAAAACTTCTTCAGAGTTTTGATTTTAGAAAGTACTTCTTTCACTGTAAATTATCCAAATACTATCCTGTAATTTAGCTTTGCTGAGTGGAGTGTACATGTAGAAAAGCTAGAGTAAGTTCTTGTTGTAAAATGGAAGAACAGTTGCAAAAAATAAACCATAAGAAATGCTACAGCACCATTAAAAGATTTAATATATGTGGCACATCTATGGAATGGCATTTTAAGGAAGGAAGAGATGGTAGCAGTGGACAAGAAAACAGCATTGACAAAATTTGTAGATAGGATAGCTTTATTTTTATTCTAAATCTAGTTTTTTGAAAACCCATGTATAAGAAGGATCCAGAGACAAACTGCCTATACATTAGAATATATTATCTTACGTTTATTATTACCTTTATTATTTTATTTACTTTTATTATTATTATTTTACTTTTGTAAAAACTACTAGTAATTCATCCATTTGATGAAATTCCTTGGGTATTGAATTGTCAACACATAAGACTTTTATAGATGCTTTTTTCAAAGCTGTAATCATATATGATTAGCAACACTTTCTTCAGTGTTAATTTTGAAGTCAAATAAAAACAAAATAATTTTTTCTCCTTAATTTCTTTCTGGGGGGAAATAGTGTACACACACACACACACACACACACACACACACACACCTCTATTCCAAATTTCTAACTATTTACAGCAGTTTTACTTTATGACCAAAAAGTAAGAATTGACTTTTTATTTGTCTCTCCCCACTTTGTCCTCACAGTTCCTGCTGAGTGAGCATTCACATGCAAATGTACCAAAATCATCCCACAAACCTGTCATTTCACCCATATTGTTTTCATAAATTTGCTACCTCCCTTGGTGCAAACATATGATTTTCTTCTTCAGTTCACCTGAAAATTGCTTCTTCATGCTTTCATTTGGAATGGTATGGATTTGGGTATTGTCAGCAGTCCAGGGATATATTTGAATAAAGTCACACTTACTAGATCTAGGGCAATGTCATCAGTCACATGTGTGTCAGGGATTCGTCCTGTGGCCTTACAAATCTTTGGCTCCAAAATGAGCTAAGAACCTCACTTAGGACCAGGGCCCAGTGCTGTAATTGACTGCTGTTATTTTCTGGACTGTTAGAGCATTGTTTTTCCCAAATGAAGTTTGATCTTTTTTTCTAGAAACTTTAAGTATTCTAGCAAAAGAGAATTTTATCGAAGAGAATCACTTTGATAGGACACTAAAGTTCAAGTGTAAGCAAAATATAGGAAACAACTTTATTCCTCCCCAAATTAGGCATTTGAAAGGACTCTGTAGGAAGATTCCAAATATGGTTGATAGTTCCATATTGAGCAGATTTGTCCTAAGCAGAAAATTTTCAATTATAAAGGCCACATTATTCAATATAATTAATTTTTCAGAGTATGAAGGTAACACAATGATCCACACTATGAAAAAACTGGAAAATGCAGAAAAGGAAAATAATTCCAATGACATCAGCACAAAATATATATATACATATATATTAGTTTGACCCTTTCCTTCCAATACCAATTATATCTGCATGTTTGTCTTTTAAAATTCCATTTTCATAATATATAGTAATAATACTAATAAGTAATATTTATTGAGGATGAAGCAAATGTATGTACTTCAGTTATTTTCTCATTCAGTTCTAGTGAAAAATCTATGATATATGTATTATTACATTCA